ATCATCCTACTGTTGGTAGTCATACTATATCCGTAGCTGATGGATCCCATAAATCAGTTATTGGTTCTGATAACATTCAAATTCAACCTTCCTTGTTTCTTAAAAATGTTCTTTATGTTCCTCAGCTTTCTACTAATCTTATCTCCACTCAAAAACTTACAACTGATTTGAATTGTTCTATCACATTTTTTCCTTTTCATTGTCTTATTCAGGATCTTATTGGAGTTGCTAATGAACAGGATGGGTTGTATCATCTCCTTCCAGACCATGCTAGCAAAAATCAGTTATTAATGACACGTCATCCTTCTACTGCAGAGTCTATGATTTGGCTCCATCACAAGCGTGTGGGGCATCCACCATTTAGTCTTTTGAAGTCTATGTTCCCCTCTCTGTTTCTCAATAAGTCGGTTGAGACCTTTCATTGTGATGTTTGTGAATTTGCAAAACACCATCGAGTGTCATTTCCTTCTAGCACTATTAAAAGCAGGGAACCTTTTTCTCTTATCCATTCTGATGTTTGGGGCCCTTCTAAAGTGCACAGTGTTTCAGGTGCAAGGTGGTTTGTTTCTTTTATTGACGATTGTACTCGGATAACATGGATATACTTGATGAAAGACAAGTCTGAAGTACCAGAGATATTTATTCGGTTTCATCACATGGTTGAGACTCAGTTTGGTAAAGGTATTAAAAGACTCAGATCTGATAATGGTACTGAGTACGTCAATCAACGCCTGTCACAATTCATTTTAGACAGAGGTATGATTCATGAGCTCACATGTGTTGATACCCCCTCAACAAAATGGGGTTGCTGAAAGGAAAAATCGTCACCTTCTTAAAGTTGCTAGAGCACTACTTTTCCAGACATCTGTTCCTAGTTCTTATTGGGGAGAAGCAGTATTAGCTGCAACTTTTTTGATCAACCGTTTACCTTCACGGGTCCTTAACAATATCAGTCCTATTCATTCCATGACTTCCTTCTTTCCTTCTGTTCTCATATTGCAGAGCCTTCCACCAAGAGTGTTTGGATGTGTTGCCTTTGTCCATGTTCATAAACAACATCGGAGTAAGTTGGATCCTAGGGCTCTTAAGTGTGTCTTCCTTGGTTATAACCCTTATAAAAAAGGGTACAAGTGTTATCATCCACCAAGTCGGAAATTTTTTGTTTCTATGGATGTCACCTTTCAAGAATCTGAATCTTATTTCCTGGGTCCTCATCGTCAGGGGGAGAACAGTTCTTCAGAAGACTCGTCCCCTTCTTTCTTTGAGTCTGGATCAATCTTCTCTCTTCCTAGTGTGTCTGCTCCTGGTGTGTCAGAACCTTCAAATACACCTGAGATACAACCCATACTGTCTCACCAGCAACCTCAATCGTCTGAACCACTGGTAAGTCCTGAATCTCCTATTTCTTCTGAGTCTCCTGAATCTCCTATTTCTTCTGAGTCTCCTGAATCTCCTATTTCTTCTGAGTCTCCTGAATCTCCTGTTTCTGATTCTAATATTATTTCCTCTCATGATTTGTCTATTTCTTCTGATATCTCTAATGACTTACCTATTGCTTCTACTTCTGATGACTTACCTATTGCTCTTAGAAAAGGAAAAAGATCTTGTCACAAAAAAACTTGTTCCTCCTGTCCCTCTTGTACTCAATACCCTATCTCCCACTTTGTTTCCTCTGCTAATCTTTCTGTGCAGCACAAAAGCTTTGTTTCAGCACTAGATTCTATTGCAATCCCAAAATCAGTACATGAAACCTTGAAAGATAGGAATTGGGCTCAAGCCATGCAAGAGGAGATGAATGCTTTGGAGAAAAATAAAACATGGGAGGTTATTGATAGACCCAACGGAAAGAAAGCAGTAGGGTGCAGATGGGTTTATGCCCTGAAATATAATTCTGATGGCACTCTTGAGAGATATAAGGCTCGATTAGTGGCCAAAGGTTACACTCAAACCTATGGCATTGATTATGAAGAAGTCTTTGCTCCAGTTGCAAAGATGAATACAGTGAGAATCTTGTTATCCCTTGCTGCCCATTACAATTGGGATATAAATCAATTTGATGTGAAAAATGCTTTCCTCAATGGTGAGTTAGAAGAAGAAGTCTACATGAAAATAAAGTTTGTAGATTAAAAAAGGCCTTGTATGGATTGAAGCAGTCACCTCGTGCTTGGTTTGGAAGATTTACTAAGGTTATGATGACCTTAGGATACAGACAGAATCAAGGAGATCACACTCTTTTCTTCAAGCACTTCCAAAATGGGAAGCTTACTGTGCTCCTTGTATATGTTGATGATATTATTATCACAGGTGATGATTTTGTGGAGAGACAGATTCTGCAAACACGGCTTGCCTCTGAGTTTGAAATCAAAGACGTTGGGAAACTGAGATATTTCCTAGGGATAGAAGTAGCTCATTCAAGCAAAGAAATTTTTATCAGCCAGAGGAAATATGTTCTTGATCTTCTCAAAGAAGCAGGAAAGCTCGGGTGTAAACCCTCTAATACTCCTATTGAGCAAAATAAGGTTGCATTACCTGTCATGTGATCAGAGGCCCCTGAATCAAGGATCCAACGATTACTACGTTCAACATGGAATGCCATACCTTTTTGAGCAACATGACTAGTTGCCTCGGGAGGTTGAGATATCAGTTTCTGAAATTGCTCATACTGGGCCTTGAAGAGGAAAACACCATCAAGGTTTGAAGGGACATGAGACACCTCCCCTTTATCTTCGGAAGATACTTGATTAGCACGATTCTTGTTCTGTCCTTTTGGTTTCCAGTTTGGTGGTTTTCCATGAATTTCCCAACATTTTTCACGGGTGTGACCACCCTTATTGCAATGAGAACACCAACGGTCAGAACGTTTTGAGTCTCCAGAAAGACGAACAGTATTCTTTGCTATAAGGGCAGACCCATCAGAGGACTTAGAGTCCTTATCACCCAACATTACCTTTCGGCGAAGCTCCTCCCTTCGTACTTCGGAAAAAGCAGTAGCAAGGGAAGGTAATGGGTTTTGTCCCAAAATTCTTCCACGAACATCATCAAGATCATAATTAAGGCCAGCAAGAAAATCATAGAGACGCCTTTTCTCTATATAATTTTTGAACCTTGCATTAGCTTCTAAACCTTGAAGGTCTACTTTATCATAAAGATCTAACTCTTGCAATAGTATTTTTAGAGCAAGGAAGTATTCAGTAACAGTCATCCCTCCTTGGCGTAATTCTTTCACCTTGGTGTTGAGATCAAAAGCCTGAGATGCATTGCCCAGGTCAGAGTAATATTCTTTAACAGCTTCCCAAATCTCGTGAGCTGTATCAAGAAATAAATAAGTTTGACTGATATCTGGTTCCATAGAATTAGTCAGCCATGTCATGACTAAAGCATTTTCAGTCACCCAAGCATCATAACCAGGTTCACGTTCTGCTAGTTTTACCTTTTTTCCATCGAGATACCCCATCTTCCCTTTAGCCTGGATAAACAACTTAACAGATTGATACTATTGCACATAGTTCCTACCGTTTAAACGGTGACTGGTGATCTGCATTGCTGGGTTGTCTCCAGAAGACGAAGAGTTGGGAAGGGGTGAGGTTCCAGACAAAATTTCAGAATTTCCAGCATCCATGGCTTTCTAACAGGTACCCAGAAAAAAGTTCCTCCAAATACGATTTTGACCCTCAAAACAAGAAGAGGGTTGGCCACGGTGAAACAGTAATTGCTACAGTGATGAACAATACTGCCACGGGTCTTCTGTGGGCTGGCTCGGAATTTTGTTCTGAACCTAATGGTGGCCTTGGTTTCGTGGTTGGAGGTGTCTAGGTAAGGATTCTGGCTTGGGTAGTGGCTAAAACGAAAAAAAAAGGAATAGGAAAATGACTTAAAAATAACCACCCCAAAAGCTAGCTCAAAGGGTGGGAGTGCCCAAGGCCTTATAAACTCCACATTAGTTGCACATACAACCAATGTGGGACTATATATCTCAACACGCCCCCTCACACAAGAGCCCATTGGGCTTGAAGAGTGGACAATGCAACAGGCCCAGCCTACCTGTGCTAAGAAATGCCACAAGAGAAATTGAGGGGCGGCGAGGCTCTGATACCATGAAGAAAAGAAGTGGAAGAAGTGTTTTATCTGAATAATATTTTCTTGATTCATTGAGAGACCCAATGGGTCCTTTTTATATTGAGTACATCCAACTACCTCAACTACTTTAATAAATATGCAACCTCCAACTACATCAATAAATATACAACTACCAACTAAATATACAACTACCAACTACATCAATAAATACTATCTAGAATATTCTAGATATTCTACAGTTTGTTAAATAGCTTAGGGGCTGTCCTAGTCCATAATGAATGCTTTGTGTAAAGAACCTTGGGATACACCACCCCAAAAGCTAGCTCAAAGGGTGGGAGTGCCCAAGGCCTTATAAAGGCCACATTAGTTGCACATACAACCAATATGGGACTATATATCTCAACACGCCCCCTCACACGAGAGCCCATTGGGCTTGAAGAGTGGACAATGCAACAGGCCGAGTCTACCTGTGCTAAGAAACGCCAAAAGAGAAAGTGGGGGGCGGCGAGGCTCTGATACCATGTAAAGAACCTTGGGATACACCACTCCAAAAGCTAGCTCAAAGGGTGGGAGTGCCCAAGGCCTTATAAAGACCACATTAGTTGCACATACAACCAACGTGGGACTATATATCTCAACACTTTGAAACCATGTAATATGAAAAAGTTTAAGTGATGGGAAAAACTGAACGCATTTGATTAATAACGGTTTACTAAAATTTTGACTCAGTTTTATCACGTTTTCTTTAAATTGCATTCTAGCAGCTTGGTCTATTTTATGACCCCTTTTGTATGTGCGCTAATACTATATATGTGTAAAAAACCGAAGTTGGCACAGGACATTACATACAAATCAAGTTTTCTGATTATTTGGAAAGAAACAAATTGTAAAATGAAAAAATAAATCAGTTACATGATACCTACATGATTTTTTTATTTAACCATCCTCCCATCGACTCATGAAGATGCAGCGGAAGATCCCAATGATACAAAGTTACGTAAGGTTGAATACCTGCTGGAAAAGAGTAACTTAATATATAATATTCATGAAGGAGCTAGAAAATTAAGGTGAAGTGGTTCCACATAGACCATACCTCTTTCAAGAAGAGCATTGATAATGTTGTTATAGAAAGTTATTCCATTTTCGTTGACTTTGGTTCCTAAGCCATCTACACCCAAAATAACATTACAATACAATAAAAATAAAATCCAAACAGTCTCCATCATTTATATCAGACAATGTAACACTACAAAACAAGATGAATATATTAGTATAACTACAAAACAACATGTCATAGTCATGTAAGTATAACTTTTCCAATTTAAATACAAGTATAACTGTTTTGTGGACAAGGCAAGAAATGCTATTAGGCTCAAAACCACGGCTCGGAAAATGATAGTGGGGCATAAAATCAGTAAAAAGAACATTAAAAATATACAATGCTATAACATAAATCAGCTAAACATCTCATTGTCATGTTCTCAACAATTCCAGCACCATCTCCAAAATTAGACAGCCAACTTGTTTAAGGTGTTATAATTTTCCACCAACAGTTTGTCACATTTTTCATTCGACTCCTAATATGGAAGAAAGCCAGTTGACACCCAGAAAGAACATGAAGCTAAAGTTTTGTAATAAAAGAGGGAAAAAGTAAATTTCCATTTCTGCACATAGCTCACTGTGATATCCCAAATATTCAGTATTGAAAAATGTATGGTTTTATTATATAATCGAACATTCACATTTTACACAACAGCTGTAGCCAAGTCAAGATATTTTCTTTATTGTCATTTAAGTGGAGATTAATACAAAGTAACCACATTAGCTACAAAAAGAGTGAACACCATTTTACTCCCCAAAAAGATACGCGAGACATCAATTTGGTCCTATGAAGAAGGATGATATCAATTTAGTCCCTCAAACAAGGAAAGTGACACAAAAAAACGAACTTTTGTGTACGGACTGTGAGAACACCATTGATAATGGAGCCTTTGTTTGAGATATCATAAAATTGATTTCATCTTTATTTTGAGGACCAAATTGATGTCACCTGTATCTATAGTAGACTAAAAATGGTATTTAATCCTAAGAAAAACAGGTGGACATGCAAACGTGAACAAAAGATGCAAGCAGAAAATAGGGAAAGAAACTACTCCATGGGCAGTAAAAGCAAAGAATACAAGTTAAATATTTGCCTGCTAATATATTTTTTAGTATTCTCTATACTAGGGTATTCATTAACAATTTGGAGTGTGATAATTTATTGTTTTTCGTTCAAAAACATATGCAAGTTATTCGTTTAAAATATCACCATGCTTCAACGGGAAGATCTGGGCTTTAATTTAGTTTGTCGTTTCAATGTGATACAATTGTCTCACCAAGGCCCAAACCAAAGTCTAAATGGTCCAGCCCAATTAAAGTTTATCAGCGTAGAGCTGCTGCTGGAAAGAGAGGGAATGTTGCTGATATGGAAAGTTAGTTATGGGGTAGTGGGTATGCTTGGAATTGGCTGGGAGAAGGGAAGTGTTTATAGTGTTGTGGTTTGTAATTGGAAGTTCAGACTTGTATTACTTTCGTCTACGTTTGTAGAGGGCTTGGAGACATCTCCATAGCTAGGAGCTTACGCTATGTTGATTTCCATTTGTATACGTTTCTTTTATACAGAAATATATCAATCCTCTCTACATTTTGAAAGGAAGAGGTGTTTATCCTATCAAATTGGTGCTCTCGTTGAGAGATGTTTAGGGGAAGAGAAAGTCTGTGCATGCTCACCAGAATGACATCGCAACGAATTGAAGCTTTAGACGCAAGGATGGTAGCGGTTGAATCGGTGCTTAAGTCGCAGGAATTCTCTTTTGCGATCGCATGATACCACTTTGAAGGGACATTCGCATCAGTTAGCAGAACATTTGACGAAGTTGAGCTCCTTAGTTACCAGTGTAGGAGACATCATCCAAACTCTGGCAGAAATGTGTGCCAAAATCTGAGAGGGACTTCAGCGTCCTGACCTATCGCTACAAAATCCAGTACTCACCAAAGGACAAGGAAGCGAAGTTTCGAAAGGAAAGGAAGTGGTCGTTGATACGGAGAAGGAGGTGACAAAAGGAACAAATGCGAAAGATTATCAGCTGTCAGCGAAGAGAATTGAGCTTCTGGTCTTTAGCTGAACAGACCCAGTTGGCTGGGTAGCTAGAGCGAAGGCCTATTTCACCATGCAGGGTACACCGAAGACAATGTGCATTCAATACGCACAAATTTGTATGGAGGGTACTACGTGGCACTTGTTCAAAGTATTGAAGGAATCGGATCCGCAACTCGATTGGGAGCGTTTCAAACATGCTTTGTTTGATTGCCATGAAGATAATTATTTTGGGAATCCTTTTGCTCAGCTTAAGGGGTTATTACAGGAAGGCACCGTAGACTAATACGTGGAAGAGTTCGAAATGCTGGTTGCCCAAGTCCCAATGCTTCCAGAGGAACAATATATGGGCCTTTTTATCTGTGGTCTGAAGGAAGATGTGCGCATGGAAGTTTTATTCTGGACCCTCAGAATTGTTTCAAGATGATTTCCCTATCCAAGGCGGTGGAGCGAAAGCTCCGCGGAGGACAAAGGTTACTATAGGGCAAGACAACGATGGTTTTCGTCGCAGCGTAGTGTCCATTTCCTCTTCTGGTATGGGTGTTCAAGGGGGTAAAGCAAACACTTCCCCAACAGGGCAGAATTGTTTGGTCCATAGTGAAGAAAAGCGAGGTGGATCGAACAACAGAGGTGTCAGGAATTTGTCTTACCCTGAGCTCATGGAGCAAAGGGCTAATGGGTTATGTTTTAAATGTGGTCAACGTTACAGCCCTACTCATCAATGCCCGGACAAGCAACTGAGACTTCTCATCTGGGAGGAAGAGGAGACAATTGGGAAAACGGAGGCACTGGTTACTGTTGAGGATGCAAAAGACGCTGGAGATTAGGAGTTAGTTTGTAATAGAGTGAATTTCTAAGTAGCGGATATTTCTAACAGATTTCCATCCAAAACTATGAAGGTGGAAGGGAGTTTGGAGGAATTTCCTATACTCTTGTTGATTGATAGTGGTGCTAGCCATAATTTTATTACCCCCAGAGTTGGTTTCGTCTTTGAGCCTGCAAATGATTAACACAAAGGAGTTTAGTGTTAGTATGGGAGATGACAGCAAACGTTTCTCCAGTGGCAGATGTCATGCTCTTAATATTCAAATTGGTCATTTTTTGTTGAATGTTGGTGCTTATATCCTGGATTTTGGTAGAATTGATTTGATTTTTGGAATGGAATGGTTGGAGACTTTGGGCGAGGTTCGCCAAGATTGGAGGAGGAAAACTATACAATTCTTACATAAGGGAGAATTGGTTAAATTAAAGGGATATCAAGTTGATGATAAGGATCACCAACTAGCACTACAAGGGTTACTTCAGGAAGAGGGGCACGATGACAATGAAAAAATCAATTTACCAGGAGATACTCTTAATACTGAACTCACTACACAGCAGCAAGAGTCGCTGCACATGATAATGGACGAATTCCAATCAGTTTTTCACGAGCCACAAGGCCTACCACCTCATCGTGACTTGGACCATGCTATCAATCTGTTACTAGGCACTGCTCCGGTCTGTGTGAGGCCATATAGGTGAATACTTAGTTATAAGAAGGATCCATCTGCCATAGTACAAGTCCATTCTAAAACGCGGTTATTCTAGTAAAGAAGAATGATGATTCTTGGCGCATGTGCATGGACTAGAGCGTTAAATAAGGTGACAATTCTGGACAAATTTCATATTCCCACTATTAATGAGTTGCTTGATGAATTACATGGCGCCAAATATTTCTCTAAGATAGATCTTAAATCGTGTTTCCATCAAACACGGGTGAAAGAATATGATATTCCAAAAACTGCTTTTCATACCCACGATGGACATTATAAGTACCTCATTATGCCTTTTGGTTTTGTTAATGCGCCCTCTACTTTCCAATCCACTATGAACTCAATTTTCCGTTCACGTTTGAGGCAGCATGTCATGGTGTTTTTTGACGATATATTGGTTTATAGTCCCTCATGGGAACTGCATTTGATGCATCTAGGAGAAGTCCTGCGGATGCCATAGCAGAATTGGTTATACGCCAATAGGAAGAAATGCTCTTTTGGACAATTGTCCATTGAATATCTTGGTCATGTGATTTCTCTTGCAAGTGTTGCTACGGATTCATCCAAGTTACAGGCTGTCCTAAGTTAGCCTACCCCAATGAATGCTAAAGGAGTTCGCGGTTTCCTTGGTCTTAGGGGATATTATAGATGTTTCATAAAGGATTATGGGAAGGTGGCGCATCCTTTAACTGGTCTGACCAAGAAGGAAGGGTTCTTATGGAATGAGGAGGCCCGAGTTGCATTTGAGAGGTTGAAACAACTACTCACTTTTGCTCTAGTTCTTGCATGAAAAGATATTAACAAAGACTTTGTTATTGAATGTGACGCATCGGGTTTGGGTCTAGGGGCTGTTCTAATGCAAGAAAAACAACCTATCGCTTACTTTAATAAGGCCTTGTGTTAGAGAAGTATAAAACTATTAATGTAGCCTCACCCAACATCTTAAACTTTTAGGTTGAATTGGTTCTTTACATGGTATCAGAGCCTCGATGTCACGGGTTCGATCCTCACCGCCCCCCATTTAATTAATAATTAATTATGCCTTGTGGAGTTTTTTAGCACAGGTAATTAGGCTTGTGCATTATCCACCCTTCAAGTCCAGTGGGTTCTCATATGAGAGGACGTGTTAAAGAAGCATAAAACCATTAATGTAGCCTCATCCAACAGCTTAAGCTTTTGGGTTAAATTGGTTCTTTACACCTTGTCTAACCAGAATCTATCAAAGTCAGTATACGAGAAAGAAATCATGGCCATCACTTTTGCAATCCAACATTGGAGACATTATCTGTTAGGACGTACCTTTACTGTCCTCACTGATTATAGCAGTCTCAAACATCTTCTAAGCCAGAGAATCACCACAACTGATCAACATTGCTGGTTAGCAAAATTAATGGGTACAGGTTTGAGGTGGTTTACAAGCCTGGACCAGAAAATAAGGTTGCTGACTCTCTATCTCGCAGGGAGGGTAATATTGCTCTAACTCACATAATCTCTACTCCTTACTGGGTTGATATAGGCAAGATGAAAGAGGAGTATGTAAACGATTCTACACTGCAGAAAATAATTGCTGCTATTTTTGCTAATTCTGATATACCATCGGGTTTCACAATGCAAGGGGATCTGCTGTTTTTTAAGAACCGCATGGTTTTGTCTTCCACTTCCTCTCTCATTCTCACCTACCTCCAAGAGTTCCATTCATCACCAACAGGAGGTCACTCTAGTTTCACTTGAACATTCAAGAGGGTTGCTAGGGGTCTGTTTTGGTTTGGAATGCACAAACGAGTAATGGATTATGTGAAGTCTTGTGACGTATGTCAAAGACACAAATATCAGACCCTTTCACTAGCTAAACTTTTGCAACCTCTTCTAGTTCCACAGATGATATAGGAGGATCTTCATAACCGAGTTACCAAAATCCCAGGGGTACGAAGTGATTCTGGAGGTAGTGGTTGATAGATTATCCAAACATGCTCACTTCCTGCTTCTCAAGCGTCCTTTTTCAGCTTGAACTGTGGCAGCTTTGTTTTCCAAGGAAATTCTGCATTTACATGGCCTTCCGAGGTCAATTGTGAGTGACCGTGATCCGTTGTTCTTGACTAATTTTTGGAATGAGTTGTTCCGTTTGCAGGGAACGGTTTTGATAATGAGCACCTCGTACCATCCTCAAACTAATGGACAGACAGAGATCCTGAATCATTGTCTTAAAACTTATCTTAGGTGTTTTGCTTCGAAGCAACCAAAGAGCTGGTTTTTGTGGATTTCCTGGGCTGAATTATGGTATAATATGTCCTTCTATAGTTCTACCGGCACGACACCATTTAAGATGTGTATGGGAGACCCCCTCCTACTATTCCGCATTATTTACAGGGTGAAACTCAGGTGGATGCAGTTGCTAGAGTTCTGCATGACAAGGATGAAGCTTTTGTCAGTTGAAACACCATCTCATGAGAGCTCAGCAGTCTATGAAGCAACAGGCTGATGCTCACCGTCGTGATGTCTCTTTTGCAGTGGGAGATTGGGTGTATGTGAAATTAAGGCCTCATCAGCAAGTTTCAGTAGCTCGCAGAATTAATCCAAAGTTATCTGCACACTTTTATGACCCTTTTTAGGTGATTACTAAAATTGGGGTCGTGGCTTACAAGCTCCTTCTCCCTGCCTCTGCCAGGATTCATCCTGTCTTCCATGTCTCACAGCTTCAAAAGGCTATTGGCAATTCAATTCAAGAAGGAAATTTCCCTCTTGATTTGGCCTTAACTACAGATGAACCTCCTGAGCTAGAGGGTGTACTAGCTGAACGAATTTCAACGAATGGTAATCAGTCCCATACTAAATGGTTGATACTCTGGAAATACAAACCCGTGGAAGAGGCCACTTGGGAGAAGGCTGCCGACATTCAAGGCAAGTTTCCTACGTTTAGCCTTGAAGACAAGTCTAATTCTGATGAGGAGGGTATTGATACAATTGTCTCACCAAGGCCCAAACCAAAGTCTAAATGGTCCAGCCCAGTTATAGTTTATCAGCGTAAAGCTCTTACCGGAAAAAGAGGGAATGTTGCTGATGTGGCAATTTAGTTACGAGGTAGTGGGTAAACTTGGAATTGGTTGTGAGAAGGGTAACGTTTATAGTTTTGTGGTTTGTAATTGGAAGTTTAGGCCTGTATTACTTTCATCCACGTTTGTAGAGGTCTTGGAGACATCACCATAGCTAGGAGCTTACACTTTGTTGATTTCCATTTGTATACGTTTCTTTTATACATAGATATATCAATCTTCTCCATTCGATAGAAAGAGGTGTTTATCCTATCACAATGTCAAATGTAGAAGTTTATTATAGGAAAAGGAACACAGAAAGAACAATTTCATTTGTAGAAATCAATAAAGAACAATAATACTAATGTCAGCAACTCGCTTCCAGAAAACCCTTTTTTATTGCTGTACCAAGACTTCTCCTTCCTAACCAGTCCCTCCATGTCAAGCCCTAAGAAAGCCTTTAATCATCTCTTGCTGACCCATAGTTAGGAGTTAGGACCCATCACTGTAAATATTAACTATTGATTGAGTAATGATGAAACAGAGAAGGGTAAATATTAACTATTGACTGAGTAATCATGAAACAGAGAAACAGATGAACACTCATGCTCTAGTGGACATTGAAAATCATTTATTTGATTACTAACAACATAGAAAACATATATACATAAAATTCATCAGTAATAAATCATACCAGGGAAAATACGAGACCAAGAAATTGAAAATCTATAAGCATCAAATCCCAACTTGGCTATAAGATCAACATCTTCCTGTTATCATAATTACATTCAGAAAGTTAAGATTTGAAGAATTGTGGGTAGGGCAGGAGCCGACAGTTAAAAGACCTAATTATCAGATGCCATAAAATTCCAGATATCTTCGTACTCTTATGTTGCAATGTTATTTCATAATAGACTCAAAATGACATTGCCATAGAAAGTATTTGTCTTCAAAGAGTAAACTTATGCAAAATTATTAGTGTGGGAAAAACAACAAAACAGACAAATTCATAAGGACAGAAGCCAGTCCCCCTGGAAGAAACATCGCATAAGTTATGCAGTTATTTCAATCCCAAAATCTATCCACAAGGCAATATATAAAGAGAAGAAAAATGAATGTCAAAACACTAAAAGAAAACAATATTACTGACCATGTATCGATGGTAATGATCAACTGCTACATTGCCATTGCATTTGTCAATTATTTTTCCTAACAAAACAACAAATACAAACCAAATAATGAAGCATTGAGTAGCACCATTTAAGCACATTGATAGTGAAGGGTCTACAATTTATCTAACAAGGAAAAAGTTCTCATACCTTCAGTCTGTGAAAAGGCATCCCATATACTAGGACCTCTACCACCCTCCTTGCAAGCACCTTCTATCTAGAAATAAGCAACAAGCTGTTAAATGTCAAATTGAACAATTTTCCCATTAGTTATAAATACACCATTACTTATGATTATACGTCATTCTCCAAACAATTTGTCAAAAGACATTGACCTAGGCTGTCCCTCTCATAGAATATGGTAAAAAAATGATAGTATTCTTTCAAAATGAATCAACTGTCAGCCCAAGGTTTCATAATTAACTTGTCTTACGTGATGATTACAATTTACAAACTACTTTGAATAAATGGTTTGCCAGTTTGGCTTGATAGCTATTATGAAATTACCTCGATCAAAGCTAGATTTAGCCTATGTATTGTAGAAATTCAAGGAAGTCTATGTTTAAGGAAAGAAGAAAATCAGGTACAAAATATAGATTGAAGAACATAAACACAACAGAGTCTGTGCTAAGGGAGAACTACAGAGTTTAGAGAAGACCATGAAATTTCAAATATCTAAGAGAAGCAAGCTCAGACAACGAGAAGAGTTAGCTAAGGTGAAGTCAAAGCCAACAAGTTATAGGATGATAATGTGAAAATTTATAAAACGAATCAAAGTTAAACTCTATGATAAATTTGACAATATTAAAATTCAAGTATGCTCTACCAAAAATTGTGAGCTAGGGACGAAACCTCAGAACTAGCTAAACAAAAATAAAAAAAAATTGTCACAAATTACAGAATTTGTATATTATTACTTTCATGTGCTTTAGGGGTTTAGGAAAGAAACTGTACACTAAACTAGGCCTAAAAATCTGTACACAAATTCTGGTTGCTTGCTCAAAATGTATCACAGATTCTGACACAAAATCAGAAATCTGTCACCAGAAATTCTGCGACAGACATAAAATAAATTGTAACATTAACATTTAAAAGAATCTCATGCACCAATTTTAATCCAGGGAAACCACAACACAAAGACCTCTTAGGCAGAAATTAAAAAAAAAAAAAATTAAGTTACTCTATTAGGCATATATTATTTTGGGAAGAATTTTTATTTTTTTAAGAAAAAAGGTTGAATTAATCTATTAGCCTATATTATTTTGGGGGAAATTCAAATAGTTTCTTATAGTTTAGAATTTGCAAACGGATCACTATAGTTTCAAAAATAAATAAATTGGGTCCCTGAATCCATCTATCATTAGATGCACCGTAGGAACCCAATTTTAAAATAAAAAAATCTTGAAACTAGAAGAACTCATTTATAAATTATAAACTTTGATCTCTATTTTTTTTTAGGGAAAAAATAAAGTATAGGATCAACAGAATAATTTAATAGAAAAAAAAAGTAAAAACAGAAACTAGAAGAACTCATTTATAAATTATAAACTTTGATCTCTATTTTTTTTTAGGGAAAAAATAAAGTATAGGATCAACAGAATAATTTAATAGAAAAAAAAAAAGTAAAAACAGCAACTATTCCCAGATCACAAATTTTCCAGGAAAATCGAAAAACTATCACACAGTAAAAAATAAAAAAGTAAATAAATAAAAATCAAGAATCATGGCCCGCATCTACATTTTCACAACAAATAATGATCAGATTCAACAAACAAGTTTCAATGCAAGTGAATTCAACGCAATGCATCATAAACGTATCGGATCATGAACCTGATATGCTGAAGTGGCAACTCCGAAGACGAAGTTGGGAGGGAAATCGCTGCGCGAGACTTGTCCTTTAACAGAACCATTTTCTATCTCTCCGTTTTCTCTCAAGAATTCGTCCTTCTTTACCATTGTGAGATCGCTCACTCAGTTCACATCTTCTTCAGTGATACTCTTCTGTTTCTTTTCTTGATATACACATTGCGGGAGAAAGAGCAAAAGTCTTAATCTATTATAATTGTTAGACACGTGTTAATCTCTCAGTTAACCATTTTTTTTTCTCTTATAATAAATTATTCGAGGAGGATATTGTAACAATCAAGTTGTATTACTACTAAGTTACTACCAACCAATCTTACTATTAGATCGATTATGTTGATCCAACGGTTATATTTATTTCCATCTTTGTATGGTCATAATTTTCTAAATTTAATACTTTATATTTATTTCCACTTTTGTATGGTTATGATTCCCGTATTTAATTCTTTCACTTTAAATTTGGGAAATCATAACTATACATAAATGGAAATAAATATAACCGTTGGATCAACATAATCAATCTAACAATGAGATTAAATGATAGTAATTTGATAATAACACAACTTGATTATTACAATATCCTTCACCTCAAATAAAATATAGTCTGAGTGTAGAGATCAATTATTCTTTTTAGAGACTTGGTATCACTTCAAGTACAATTATTAATTGTTTTTTTTATCAATTTTTATAACAAGTATACAAATGGTAAAAGTTTAATTTTAATAACTTTTTATTGCATCAGTATTAAAGTAGAAAAAATATTTGTTATTTTAAATGATATAATTTTGTGTCATTTTTAATTTTTTTTCTTTAAAATATCATTAAATTATATGATAATAAATAATTACAAATGTTTAAATGTTTAAATATTTTTATTATAATTAAACTTATTCAATAATTCTAAAATAATGTTATTTTAAAATTAAAAAATATATATATGACATTTTTATAAAAATTATTGTAAGAAAGAAAAAAATTATGAAAATATCATTTTTTTTTTCTCAACCCAAAACGGTCATTTTAAAGATACATAGAGAAATAATTTTCCAATATAAATAATTGAAACGGCGACAGTAACGTAATCTAAAATGATTAAACAAAATTCATTGGTACACTTGTTCCTCAGCTTACCTAATAGAAGTAATAAAATTTAATTGACCGACGGTTGGGGAAGAAAAAATTATTTATACAAGATGCCTTCTGCAAACACGTGTCAAGACGCTACTATAACAATTTGAAAAGGAATTTGTTCTACTAACTTTTAGTGGAACACGTGTCAACACGATTCGAAGGCTAAATATGGCAATGATTCTCTATTAGATTTCAAACTTACATATAATCTTGGTATTTGTTATGAAATGAAGGAAGAGAGATGAGAGAAAATCATGTTACAAGAAAGTATGAGAAATAAAAAAACTACAAAGAAGAGTAGAGAAGACATAGAAGAATGGAGAATTATAATCATGAATGGAGGAGTTAACACTCTACTAGTGTGCTGATTATGAAATTATAAAAGGATGCAACGTTTATAAAGTTCAAAATTCAAAATTCAATCCATCCATAAATATTTACAACACTGCTCTTGGATGACTATACATTATGGATATACCTCTTTAAAATGTTCTTGGTAAGAAAAACTCAATAGGATAAAAAAAAACTTCAGCGAATGAAAAATAGTATAATATTCATAGTTAACATACCACATTTCATACGTAATATAAACTATCTTTTTAAAAAAATTTCCAAAAAAAAAAATTCAATGGGATAAAAATTTGGTAAAGAGAAAAAGAATGCAATGTATATAACTCTCCCTCAATTGAGTCTTGTAGCTATTGTTGGAGTTAAGGAAGTGGAACAACATTTATAATTTTTCATAATAATTATCTAATAATCTTCTCCCACAATAAAATGTAGTAATGTACATTCTATTATATTGGTAATGTGCATTTACACTAGTACATCATTGTACTAAGTTCATGTCTCATTAAAATCTTGCCAGAAAATTCAATGGAGAAATAAAACTAGCAAAAGAAAAAGAGTAAATTGCATGCGCTACGAAAGCATTGCACAAACGGCCCCATTAAGATTCAATGGGGAAATAAAACTAGCGAAGGAAAAAAGAGTAAATGGCATGCGCTACCAAAGCATTGCACAAACTGCCTTATTAAAAATCTCTGGCCAAGAAAATCCTTTGGGAAAAAACTGACAAAGGAAAAAACAGTACAATAATAAACCTTCAAGGCTCCATCCTTCAAGGATGGTCATAATTAATTCACTCTTCCTGATGAAAGCAATCTATTAAGTTTATGCATACTCATTTCATATTCCAATTTCTCAAATTTGAAAGTAGGTGAGGGATTTAGTGAATAAACATGTAAGATTGTCACTAGAATTAATGGATACCTATTTAACATTTCTCTTGGAGATCATATGTGTAAAAGAATTTTGGTGAAAAATGCAATTATGTCACTCTTAACATATCCGTTATTCATCTAAGCATTACAAGCTGCATTATCCCCAAAGAGGATGCTAGGAATATTATCAATTGTGAGTAAACCAGATAAAACATTAAGGTGTTATTTAAACACATTCTCGACTAGGCTTTGTTTTTGCATCCTTCCATGACATTGCAGTGTCTTCATAAAAAAGATGCATAGCTAGTGTGTGATTTTTAGACATATAATCAATATCCAAATATTACATGATATAAATTTTCTATCTCGTGGATAGATCCTTGAAAATAATGAAATTGTACTGCAAATACAATCTCAGGCATGTTGCAATTTGCAATGTATAATAGTGCTCCTATGGCACTTAAGATAAGGAACTTTTGGTCCTAATTCTCTCTTGTTAGCTTCTTTGGGTCTAAATGGATACATATTCACTTTTACTAGACAGACCATCATTAGGACACTTATATAGTTACATTGGGGCAATAAAATAACCTTTTGGAAGATGCTCAATCTGCAGGCCAAGACAACAATATATTTGAGAACATACGATGACCTTTATGGCTTAATATTAAATATGTTTCAATTTTCATTTTCCCATATATGGGATATGGGGAATCCTTCAAGGATTTTCATATAAATATCACCATCAAGTGACATAACAGTCACGACATCCATTAAATGCATCTCAAGATGATTTCTAGTTGACACACTGATCAAGAAACAAAACGTAATATAGTCCATTACAAGAGAGTAAGAAACATCATAATTAATGTCAAGTCTCTGCGTAAAACCCTTGTTCTTTCTTAATTGTCTCCTTTCATTTATTCTCAGTAGCATGCTTTTGGCATTCTTGAATAGTTTTGGTTTCTGGATCCAGATTATTTTTTGAGACAACAAGAGCTACTGATACGGCAAATGCGTTATTGACAACAGTTATAATTTTATCATATTTTTCTCTAGTATTAATATAGTTTATTGCATATGTCAACATCAATCAAACCTTTGTCATTTCCCGTCACATCCACATTTGGTCGTTCCTTATTCCCGGGATTGTTGTAATTAGCAGCTGCACTTATTTCATCAGGTTCGCTTCTTTAGGATTAATCTTTTCATAAGGCGCGATGAGTGACTTATCTTTCTTTTTCCATGAATTTATATCTTTCAGAAAAATTTCCTGTGAGCCATTAAGCTTCTAGCTTTCTCCCCTTAATGCTGAAAAATGTCTCTCACTAAATATTTAATCAACGAATCGTGTATTAAACAAGTTACCCATCAAAGGGCTCCAAGTACTTGATTATGTATTGGAATCTCAAAAGCTCATGTAAATGCCTAGCCATCTTTGAGGCCCCATTTTAAGATGTTGTGGAGGTGGTATAAGGACATATAGTACAATAAAAATACGCAGATAAGAAACACCATGTCCACATTCACGTACAAGTTGAAGAGGGGAGTATGCTTAAAAGTATCTGGGCTAGTGAACTTCTGGTTCATGGTAATTTTTAGAAGCAATGACATATACTATATCATTACTTTATATCTTCCCCTTATATTTCTAAAGTTTAATAAGGTATCATAAATTTCCAATACTGTGACCACTTCTAGGGTCACTTTTATAAAAATGTGAAGTTTGTAGTCCATCATTGACCACTTCAGGAATGCTACCTTGAAGTTTTATTTCTTTCTGTTAGTATTTGGGTGTCCTAGAGACAATCTTATGATTAAATAAGGACATAGATGTAGACCTTTTTAATATTGTCGGAAATAAATAAAAGCACTCTTTATCTTGTTTCATAATTCTGTCTTGATATTAATGTTAATATATTATGAATAACTTGATAAACCCCGTGGAATAAAATAGGTATCTCTTGAGTATCTGTGATGAGATCACACTCATGAGGATTCAAGAATACCGGATGTTTATTCCTAATTTTATGTTCCTAGTCTAGAGATACTGAGAATGGGGTCAGTAATCTCGAGTAAGACTAGCACGACTTATCTACTTGTATATGGATACAAGGTATAGACCTCATGTGCTACAGATATGGAGATGTCTTAGCTAAAGTCGTGGGTAGACCTATAAGGGTATAGCTCGCACTGAACAGACCCACAAAGAGACTCTATGAGGAACTCTCACAGAGAGTATCATTAGAGTAGTCTCTTTATATTTGGGTATGTCTTTCCTAAGACCAGAAGTTATTGCCTAGATTGTGTTCTAGAAGGCATGCTTTGATTGTGCACCTCGTCTGCCTGAAACATGGAGACTCATAGGTATACTGTTGGGCTTGTCCTGAAAGAACATAGGGCTAGGGTGATAAGCTGAAGGAATTCGTCAAATCTCTGTGAGAGATTAGGTTATCTGTAAATCGGAGAAATCGGGATGACATTTACAAGGACTCGGGAATCTATGCATAGTAAAAGAGATCATGAGATGATCTGCCTTTAGAGTCTGTAAATTGAAGATTCCTTATTTCGAATAAAGCTTACTCTAAACCGCAGGGGTTGATACGCTTCCTTACCCTAGGTTTTATGGGAAGGTAACCGAGACGAAATGAAATATATACGGCAACCAAATATGTGCAATAGGATGATCAAGTCACTAATCTAACTAGTTCTGGGGCAACAAAGCATTGCTAGTGCTCTGTGTTGTCATTAGATGGGTTGTGGGCTTATTGGGCCCAAGCCCATT